CAGGATTGTGGCTCACATGCTGAGGAATGTCACCGTCAGTTTCTATGGTTCATTGAGGACATCAGGAGTAACTTTTTTTCTATTTAAAGGAGAATTCTGTTTGCAAATGAGTTTCCAGCATCCCAGCAGTGGATTTTCATAGGGACTGGAAGGAAGCAGTGACTCCAGTGAAGGATTTCCCAAGCAACTCCACAGTGCAGAGGCAGCAGTACTGTTACACCTCCTGTTTGTGCCAACAGGTAATCAGAAGATTTGCACGGTGTGACCTGGTTGAGTCAAGTTCACACCAAGTACAGCAAGACAGCTGATGCACTGGGCAGAACACCCATGTCAGTGCCCAGGCACCACCTGAGCCCTAATGAAATCCATCTCATCACAGCAGTTTCCAGTACAGACCAGACCAGAACAGAGGTCCCCAACTGTCCAGTCATTGACTATTACACTCTCATTTATCTTCCATATTTTAAAGAGGCTGATGGACACTTTATATTCATGAGTCTTTTTCTACTCTACTTTTGATGAACTACCTCCTCAATAACTGCCCAGGAGTATTAGAAAGGAAAACAATCAAACAAATAAAGAATCATAGAATCCATCAGGTTGGAAAATATCTCCAAGATCACCAAGTCCAACCCTACCGTGGTTACTAGACCATGACACTAAGTGCCACATCTGTCTCATCTTGAAAACCTCCAGGGATGATGAATCCACCACCTCACTGGGCAGCACATTCCAATGCCTGATCACTCTCTCTATAAAAAAATCTCTTCCTAATATCCAACCTAAACCTTCCCCAGCAGAGCTTGAGTCCGTGCCCTCTTGTCCTGCTGCTGGTTGCCTGGGAGAAGAGACCAACCCCCACCTGACTCCAACCTCCTGTCAGGGAGTTGTAGAGGGTGATAAGGTCTCCCCTGAGCCTCCTCTTCTCCAGGCTAAAACTAACCACACACATTCAAAAATATATGAGGCTGCCTAATAAAGTACTTCGACTTTCTCACTGGTTCCTTTAAAATGTCTGTGAACAAGCCCAACAGCAGGTTTGTAAGTTTTTCTCAATTAAATCTCACATTGCTGAGCACAGCTCACAGTTCTCCTCTCTTCAGGTATCCCTGAAGCTTTACTACACCTTCACGTGCACTTGCTCCTTCTCCAGTTTCTGTAACATCAGCACATACATACACAAGGGCTGAGTTTACAGTGCCCCCAGATGTTACCAAGGAAATCAGCATCAAGTAGAAGCCTTGGTGTCTCTCCCTCCCTTCTGGTGTTCACTTAAGAACACTCTGTTATTGGAGGTCATAGTAATAAACAATCTTCTGCTAAAGTCTTGTTGCAGTTAGTGTGGAATTCTCTGTGAATCCATATCAAATACCTAACTGAAGTGCAGATGTACCAATTACCAAGAAAAGCACAGTAGAATCAAACCCCCCAAATGTTATCTATATACAGAACTTGCCAGTATAAAGTTTTGTCACTAGATTTTACTCAGTTTGGAAAAGGTTTAGGCAGGTTCCAACACCAATGTTCTGATGTACTTATCACAGAAACTTCTTCAGACACTCTTACCCTCTCACCAGGGAAAGGTAGGGACAAAGTCAGCTCCAGCCCCTTACCTAACCCAGACTCCCACCCCTGCTCTTACAGACACAGCTGTGGAGTTTCCTGAACCACTGTTACAGGTTATGGATCTTAAAGATGGCAGAAAAGGCTACTAAGGAATAAGAATACTAAAAACATGTCAAAAAGGAGTTTTCCTGCTTCCTATTTTGAGGAAGAAAATGAGAATGACAAGCAACAAACTTGCTTTTTGAGTGAAAATTTGTTAAAGCCCAAGTTCTGTTTGTTTAAAGGCATTTCAGGGCCACCTGCTGCATGGTAAAGCAGATGGAAAAGACATCAGTCACATTCTCACTTCTCTCCCTGTCTGTGGATTTAGAACCAGAGCAATGGTATCTCTAAGGATTCAGCCTTCTCTGGAGGTCCAGAGGGATCTGAAGCAAAGTCTACAGCATACAGGAGAAATAGGTACTGGAATAAATACCTAAAAGCCAGGTTTTAGATACTTAGATGTACCTAAGTGTAATGTATGTAAGTGCTTGTTAAGCTTGGATTATTCTTCTTTAGTCTTCTCCCACATCATTGATCCCCCAAAAGATTAAATTATTCAAGTTTGCTACAAATTGTCAGAGATTCAGCATGACAGAAGAGTTTAAGGGCAGCTGGCAGAGCCCAGCACAGCTGTTTATCACAGTACAACAGAAACAGTTCTTCAAACACACATCAGGGACTACGGAGATAGAGAGTTTTATCAGAACACACCTTTCAGACAAAAGTTACTAAATCGTGGCTTTACAGCAAGTGATGTGTACGTGCACTGCAGAAAACCAGACTGCAAGTGAGGACTCACTACCAGCACAGAGCTCTGCATGTACTGCTTGTGTAACTTCACCATCCCCTAATACTCTTTACCATAAGAGCCTTTCTTTAGTAGTTCAAAGAAACAGCTCTACACCACCTTCATTAAGACAATTTGTTTCCTTACAAATGATGTCCCTTTGCCATCAATTCAAGTACTGATCAAATTAAACACATGTAAGAAATGCTACCATGAGTTGGTGAGGTAAGAAGACCCAAATGAGGTGAGCAATCTGTCTCCCATTCTAATGTTCTCAGAATGGAAAAGAAAGGTCTAAATATCAGACATTTCCATGAACAAGCAACTGCTTTTTCTCTTCTGCTGCTGTTCATGACCTCTGGCCCTCTGGAGTTTTACATTTGACTGAGTGAAATGAGATTCCCCTATTGACCTCAGTCTTTCTCTCTTCAAAGAGGTAATGATAAAAATGGGATTGTTCTCAGAGAACTGAAAGCCTGATTTGTATATGCAACAAGCCATTCCATATGAAATCCACAGAGCATTTTGCTTTCCTCAACATTACAAAACCAATTTGTGGCATAATAATTAGTTCACTCTTCACCAAAACAAGCTTTTCTCCATAGTGTGCCTGTTACCCACACTGAGCTTCCACAGAGAACAGCCTGAACTCCACACACAGAGCAGACTACTAATGCCACAGGCAAAATCCATTACAGAGTTTCACCATGCTGTAAGTTTGCACTGCCACTTCCTCTGACAAACTAAACATTGCCACCTACCGACTGTCAGACTCTCAACTTCCACGGGTATTTTTATGCCCCACTCCCAAACACAATGCTCAAGAAGCACAGCAAAGGCTGTAAGGAAAGCACTACAGCCCAGAATAACCATAACTTGAGGCTTGATAATGCCTATTATTATTATTTGTGTTGTTCTGTTGCTACTTTATAATGTCAAATTTTAGTAATTTGAGTCCAAGTCTTGATCCTGCAATGCAACTGTCAAGCACATAGTTTTACATTAACAGACCCAACCATACACCAGAGACACCTGTGTGAATTTTAGTTTCTTACCAGCTTTACAACAGCACTGTATGTTCTGGATTTGATAGCCCAAGGTCAAGCTTGGATGCTGTTATCCAAGTAACTCAGAAAAAGTAACATGTGCTACTGCAAGATTTTTCCAGACCTATGGCTTGACAAATAAGAAAAAACCCTACACAGCACCAAAGATATAAGTGAAAGCATTATTTTAATCATTATTTTACATAATTACATTGTCAAACAAGAAGCAGCACATATAGTCACAAAAGCTTGTCACAGTGTATGAACAAGGGTCCTGTTCCTCAGCTGCTGCACATATTCTTTTGCTTGGTCAAAGCCAGTCCTTGGTGGCTCTGGAGGAGGAGGAGGACCTTCCACCAGCTTCACAAAGTAGTGGCACCTGGAGATCTTCATGATGCCAAACATTCCTTTGCCATGGTAACGAATCCTCTTCACATAGCGACCTCTGCCCGTCAGGGACTCAGCTGAGGAAAAGGAGAGGGGAGAGAAGGATATTCAGCCAAGAATAAGCTACTACACAGCTGCAATAGAAACATCTGTCTTGCCAGTGTACTTTTCATGAGAGCATTTGAAAGGTTAATTCTGCTCAGGATTCTCTCCTCCATCTTTCTTCTGCTCCATTCAGCAGATCACTGCTACACAGGAACTCGTGAGCTGAATGACCTCCCTCCATAAGCACCAAAGAGTTGAATTTAGAAAGCACGTACATAAATAAAAATGTGTGGTAAAGGACAAATCCAAAGGAAGCTACACTGAACCCTTACTAGATTATACAGCTCTTCTGAAGGTGGCATTAATTTCACTGCTTTTTAGTATTTTGCCTCATGAATTCCTGTAGGGTCTTACAGACTTCATTTTCCCTCCTTTCTCCCTACATTGCATTCATCACAGGCATTTTCATTATCTACACATCCAGCCCTGCACTAGCAGCTGAACCTCCTTATGGAAGAGGCCTGGAAGGCTCTGAAGAATTCTAATCAAGTCTGTTCTACAGTCCAGGTGACTTTTAGCTTATGAGGCCAGTTTAGTAAAATTTATACCCTATTTGATAAAATAGGAGGTTTTTCTCTTTAGGCCTAAAAAACACCTACAAATAAACATTTCTCTAACATTTTTCCAGGCTAAAAAGTACTGCAGTTATTACAAACTCATCCTGTAATCATCTACAGCAAACCCTTTTTCCCCAAAAGTCTACTGTCAATACTCTTTCCTAGGGTCCTGTCAAACTTTTTGATAGGATAGGATGACATTTTTCTGCACTCTATTAAAAACTGTACCTATATGTAAATTTGATTTGAATTCCACGTTGTGCTTTCTTACAGCCAATTCCTGTGCTTCTAACAGGACCTGGAACAAAAGAGAAAGAAATGGAAATACTGAGGAGAAATTTAAGCAATGCTATTTCTTATCTCTAGATAACATGGAAGAAATTGAAAATTTAAGTCAGTTATAGAAAAAGTATTTTATAGAGATAAAAATTGTCAAAAGACAAACATCTTTTATATAACGATGTTCCTTGCATACAGACTGAAAAAGCTTTAGGACAAATTTATTACATTTTTGAGATGGAAATGCAGTGGAAAAAATGGTTCCCACCAGCATTTGTCAACCTTCAATTTGTGGACCTTTGTCTAATTAAACATCAGGCTAGACACAAACTCCAAGGTGGACAAAATGAACTTGGGCCACTCAATATTTCAGCCAATACAGGATGCTTCTTTGCCATTATTATGCCAGAAATCAATGCTTCAGCCAAGAAAATGAGTCATTTGAGAATCCTAATAACAACAGCATATTAAAAGTTTTGTTGTCTTTACAGAACTCAGCCCTTTCCCTGGTAATATCCTTCATCTCTTACAGCTTTAAGAGCCAAAGTAGAGAGACGTAGCAGCCATTAGTGACCAGGATTCTGCATCATTTACCATGAACTTAACACCAGGCACTGCTAATTTATCATCACTACAAGGTAAATCACCCAGCACAAGTGACCTCAACATAGTCATAAGTCTCATTAAATGACTGCTACAAAAGTATGATGTTTGAATGAGCTCTCAGCAGGCTTAATTGAAACATAAAACCCCACAGAAATAGAAACATCTCCAAACCTCTGGTGACAGGTATTGATTTTAAAGTTTTCTTGAAACCAGGAGTGTTAAAGAACACAACTACATACCTCTCTGATCACCTTTGCTCCCTTTTTGTCATTAAATTCCAACTGAGCGAGAGCCTCATCAATGGACATTCCTTTTACCTGCAATCAAAGGGTAAAAATTAACTTTAGCAATTACAAATGTTTCCTCTCTCTTATTCAGGAGATAAGATTTACATTTTGTTGCCACTATAAAAACCCAAAAATACTTTAGTTTCCTCAATTGTCATTTCTTCAATGTAATATCTTGCACAGAGAATTTCTGAGCTAAATACATCTTGATGAAGCATTCAATTATTTTTTTCCTTAAAGACAAAATTCTCCTTCTAAATTCCTCTTGCCATCTACCAGTAGGCAGAAACCAACATAGAACTTCTTCCACAGTGCATAATCTGTGTGTGATCCTGGGTACACACGTGAGAGTACTGGGATAAAGCAGCTAAAGCAAACTACTAACAGCTGCCCCCTGTACAAACCATGCTCATCCCCAGGACTCTGTTAAGAAGACACTGATTAGACTATGATTGAACAAGGCTGTTAAGGCAAATACAGCAAATTAAATTCTACATTCTAACAAACCCAGCACAGAATGCTCTTTGCTTACCAGTTTTGCCAGGTACCACATCTTATCTTTGCTGTATTTTATTTCCCTCCGACAGTGATATATTTCCTAGGTGTGAAAAAAAAAGTTAGAGGATCAGTAATTTGGTTGTGAAAACAAGAATGGAGCATCCATGCCTGCTCCACAGTTTTCTTACTAGGAATAAAATCAGTATGACTCTCCTTGCTACACCATGAACACACCAAATCAGGCATAGCTTTGACATTTGAAACTGAAACATGATAAAAGTCACTAGCACACAGGAAACTTTATCACAATCTTATGGCAATTAGTTTATAAACAGACATCTCTGAAAAGGATAATCACAAGATTTTCCTCCATCTTTTCCTTTCACCTTCCTCACCTTTAGAAGCAAAGCTTGACATGCCCAGTCTTAAAAACATTACTCTGCTGTCAAGTCAGCTTACTGGGAGAGCAACTACACAATTAATTAGCGCTTGAGAAGTGAAGAGGGTTTCAAGTTTGATGGGTATGAAGAACTGCCTCCACAGACCCATTTAACTTCATTACTAACAGGGAGCAACAGTAGAATTTACCATCAATACAAATTTGAAGATGGCATTCTCTATGAACAGGTGAAACATGATTTAATAAGCCACTCAGTCAATGGCTGCATTGTCACACCACTGCATCAGTCAGCACAGCACAGAGCAGATACTTCTCTCTCCTAGGCCAAAATGGTCAAAGAGGCAACGAAGAAATGCTCATGGCCCACAGAAGTACCTGCCCAAAGAAACCTCTTTCCTTTTGAGATGCAAATACTTTACTTTGCAGAGCAGTGTGCCTGACAGAGCCCACAGCACATCAACTCCCAATGGAGAAAAACTGTAATAACAGAATTCTGAAATATCAGTTCTTGACAGTGAGGAAATACTGAAGAGTCAACCTAAAGTCCCTCCAGGCTGAGCTGTAGAGAAAGCAGCACTGATTAGTCCCTTCAGTGATCAAACACAACACTCTCTTCATGTGCAACGTCAGTCTTGTTTCTGTTCATATTTACTTGTACTTCCCAGTTACAAAACGATTAGTGAGAGGGGACAAGCAGCAACAGGCAGACACTGATGGTACCAAAAATAATCTGTTATGACTCCATTTTAAAAAATTAGCCATATTACTTATACTGACTTTTTCAGAACTTGTCTTGAGCAGCTAGCAAAAGGCTCTACTCTGAGCATACAGGTAACAAAAGGACTTTAGAGTCTTTGCTTCAGATTATGACTTCGTAAAACACAAGTTACTTGTGCAACAGACTGAAGAAACATTCCCACTGGATTCCAAAGGAAAAACCTCCTGCAACCACATGCCACATCTGACTCACATATCCCTCTCCAGATAACCTCAACCTCTCAGTCCCTGTTAAACATTTCAAGCAACCACTGACAGAAAACAACCTCTGAACAGCTTTGTTAAGGGAACACATTGTCAGACCTCAGAGAGTCTATAACATAAAGAAATTAAGAAATGAAAAGTGTGCACTCTCTTGTCCTACATCAAACAGGCACCACTGGTTCCACTGTTTGAGGAAAGTTCCAATTACACCTTTGTGCATAGAAGCAACAGTACAATCATGCTCTTCTCTGATTATTTACTGTCAGCACAAAGAGAACAGGTGTGTAGTGACACATCCCTGTAACTTCTACCTCCTTGTAGTTCAGAGATTTCCACAAACAGGATGGAACCCTAACAGGTCACATCAGGCAAGTGATCAGCTGCAAGCAACCTGAGGCTCCAAAACAATTTACACATGGAAAACGTTCCAAGTGATGTTAACTTACACAATCCAGCCAAACTGATTAAAATCTTAGATAGAAAGCAAATAAGCTATCAAACTACTGGTTTGTGGAGTCATCCAGAGCCAGTGACAATCTGTTCAGAACTCAAACACACACAAGTGATGACACTCCAGGTGTATCCTTACAGCAGGTCTGCGAGGCTCTCCAGGCAGCTGTGGAGGGTAAACCACCCTGTTCTTCTTCTCCCACTTCCCAATTTTCTGCAGAGATGCTCTTGTGTGAATGCATGACAGAGGGAAAAGGCTACTGGATGCCAGCCACCTGGAAGAGAGGACCACAGCCTCAGCTGCTGAACACAAGAGTTCCTTGTCCCTGCCCAGTTCACCTGGAAAACTGTGAACTTGCTTGTGTTGATAGAGAGAACTGACACATTCAGCTGCTCTCAAAATCAAACTGCTGAACTTCTTTACAGTTTATAATGAAAGAGCTTTTTAATTCAACAAGCCTTGGGCTGCCTAAAGCAAACCATGACCACTGGTAGAGCAGGAGATTCCACATCATGTGTCTCGTGTCCTTGGATTGTCACATGAAGTCGGAGTCAGATGCACAGGAGTGAGGGGAGAGACACCTCCATCATGGCACAACCTCTAAGGACATAGACACTGCAGGGGCTGAGAGTGACATGTTCCCACAGCTCCGCGGCAGGGCGAGAAAGCAGGGTGAGAATCATAGAATTCTAGGGCTTGGAATGGACCTTACAGATCATCCAGTCCCAATCCCCCCTGCCCTAGGCAGGGACACCCAGAGCTGGGCTCCCACCAGAGCACGTTGCTCAAGGCTTTAACCAACCTAGCCATGAACACTGCCATGGTTGGGGCATCCACTACCTCCCTGAGCAACCTGTGCCAGTGTCTCACCACCCTCACAGTAAAAACCTTTTTCCTAATACCTAACCTAAATTTCCCCTCCTTAAATTTGAAACCATTACTCCTAACACAGAGTCCCTCTCCAGCTCCCCCACAGGCCCCGGGAGAAGGCAGGGGCAGGGCAGGGACAAGGCAGCGGGAAGGCCGAGCAGGTGCCCCCGAGCGCGGAGCCCTCACGCCGCCGCACG